CGTCGTTTGGGCTCATCGGCTACTTTGAATAAAAACACGTTTGATTTTCTTTATCGCTTCGCCTGGGTGCGAACGTGGAGGTTTCGCATGATTAGACAGCATTAAACAACTCGGCCTACAATCGGAGGGGGCGCCGTTTTAAATAGGGTGATCTAGATCTACCTTTTCACGGTACGCGCCTATCTATTTTTGTTCACATTTCTAATGTTGTTTTTATTATTTCTTTTCAATTTTTTGCAATCCTTGGAAATTTTTTTTTTTTTAAGCGGACACTTGTGGTTGACTGAGAACGGGGATAAATCTCACGCATGCGCACTGTTTGGCAAAAGTAGCGTCCGTGACGACCAATCAATAAAAACATAAATCTCACCCACTCCTTACTCTTTAGTTTAAAAAATAACGGAAGTAGAAGTATATGTGGGAGGAGGGGAGGATAATTTAGACTTGTCTGTTTTTTATAAAATTTAATTTCAGGACGAGGGAATACTTTCATACATTAAAATGTCAATCTTTATCAGACAACTAAAACGTTCCTCTGTATGTACGTGTATGTATATTTTATTCTGTAATGCACAAAAATCAACCCTTTCGCCCCTACGACATGATGCAAGCGGTGGTCCAATACCTCCCCCCCCCCCCCCTTAACCCAAGTCCGACCACTTGTTCACGCCGTTCTCCAGTTCTTAACTCCCCTTTACTTCGATCGATAACCCAAAAAAAAACCGCTTCTTATAGACGACTATTCATTGATTTCGGTCTTTGATTCCAGGCATTTTTAAATAGCTTTTTATAGTATTTTTTAAACTTGTTTTTATTCATTGATTTTGAATATAAATAGCAGTAAGCTTTCGCTATCGAGAGATTTTTTTGTTGTATGGCAAAATTAAGATTATGGCCATAGTCTAGCAATGTAGAGGTCTTCATGACCGTGGCTCTATAGAACACCTGATTGCCTACATTATCCAAGTAAATCTTTCGGCCACGCTATTCTAAGTTCTGAGTTAAGTATGTATATAGGCGCATATATATATATATATATATATATATATATATATATATATATATATATATATATATATATATATATATATATATATATATATATATATATATATATACATACATATATATATAAATATTTATTTATTTATGTATATATACTTAAATACCAATGCTTGTGTATATGTACTTATGGATGAATACGCTTACCTACATATTTATGTATTTAAATATGTTTGTATGTTACATATATAAATATATGTGTATATATATATATGTATTTATATATATGTATATATGTATATATGTGTATATATATGGATATATATATATATATATATATATATATATATATATATATATATATATATATATATATATATATATATATATATATATATATATATATATATATATACAGAGAGAGAGAGTTAATTGATGCTACTCACTTTATGACAAAAAACTAAATTGTTCATTACCGTATGCTTAACGCAGTTAATTTATGTTCAATTGTATAACAACGCGTATTATGACAGTTATGGGTACCACGTGATCCTCCAATTGTCAGCCAGCAGCGAAAGTAAGCGGCATCTATTTTTAGCACTGCCATTGGCTTCTATTTACCTCCCTTGGATTGATGTTTATTTCCCTTCCATGACCGTCGATTCGCTTGCTCTCCCCTGATCTCTCTCTCTCTCTCTCTCTCTCTCTCTCTCTCTCTCTCTCTCTCTCTCTCTCATCATTCTTTCTTTCCCACTTTCGCACTCTCTCACTCTGTAGTTGAGATACACCTTTCTATATTTCCCCTTTGGCCTAGGAAAGAGCCGTGAAATGTGCCGGAATGCCGGTTCTATGTCTTCTAGGGGGAACAAGATTCTCCGTGCCGTGCGCGTCACATTCGCTCACATCACCGGCACTTAACTGTTCCAGCTTGCTTCTGTGTGGGTGTGTGTGTGTGTGAGTGAGTTTGTGTGTCTGTATGAATGTCTGGGTGTTCTGTGTACGTGTTTTTCTGTGTGTGAGTGTGTGGGTATTGTGGTGTACGTTTGTGTGTCTGTGTGTATGATTGTCTGGGTATTGTGTGTGGTTGTCCCTGTGTGTTAGTGTTTTTGTCCAACTGGCTAGGTGTGGTGTGTATTTAAATATGCACGTGTCTTTGAATGTGAGTTTTTGCATGTGACTCTGTTTTGTGTTTTTGTCTGTGTATATAGGCCTCTCTCTCTCTCTTTCTCGAATATATATATATATATATATATATATATATATATATATATATATATATATATATATATATATACACTCATGTGTATTGTATAGATATATATACTCATGTGTATTATATATATATATATATATATATATATATATATATATATATATATATATATATATATTTATTTATTTATTTATTTATTTATTTATTTATTTATTTATATATATATAGTGTCTACTATGTAGGCCTTCATTACTAGTATTTTAAAAATAGCAACCGGTGTACGTGCAGAATAAGAAATTCATTCCATGTCTTTACCCCTGGTGTCTCAGTGTCTTTCCACTGTCTGAATACCGTCCCGTGGATCCTGCCCCCATTCCGTGTGGAACTCTTGCACGAATAAAGGAGCAAAGACAACCCGGTAAAATGGAACCTTATGTATAATCAGAAGACGACGTAGAGTTATGGAACCTTATATATAATCAGAAGGCGGCGTAGAGCTAGAAACAGAGAGAAAAAAAAAGTCAATGGAATAACACAATCAGATACGTATCGTTAGAATGGTCGGGGGGATTCAATGCTGAAGGGAACGTCGTGTAGGTGTGGGTAGACAAAAGTTGTAAGTATAGTAGCAATCCAGTCTGAAGGCGTGCAGTGGCGGGGGGATTGCGGTGATCGGGTGGGGAAGTCGAAGGAGGCGACCGGCGTGACTTTTATTTTTAGTTTAGTGGTAGGGGGAGCGTCGTAGTGTTGAATTGAGTCGTGGTATTCAAATGCGGAGGTTCGATCTGTGTGTAGGTATAGACTGACCAGTCGAGAACATTCTGATATTTGAGAGAGTTTATGTCTGTGATTTCTGTAGGAATATGTTTTTTTCTGTGATAGCTGTAGGAATATGTTTATTTCTGTGAAATTATTATTCTTTGTATCATTCGGACTTCTGTTCATACCATCTTGGATATTTTATTATAAAAAAGTTTATTTTTTTTAATTCAACTGTTATATTTGTTTAAGTTTATTAGTTAACTTTTTAATTCCGGATTTTTTATATCTTTTTTTCAGATTTCTAAAGATTAACAGATATTTTTGGGGAATTTAAAATTCGGAGATTTCTGAAAAAAAAAAGCCTAACTGGCATAACGCTATTCAGAATTTGGACCCAAAATAAAGTCGAACTTCACCCCTTGCAGGTCGGAATTATTGTTGTAGGTGTAAGAACAACATAACATCAAGATACAACCATTGGTATAGTGGTATCTGTGATTGAATAAGTCACAAGATAGATCTGTATCTGTGACAAAAGACGGTAATAAAAAAGACACACTGAAGTCAACCAAGGGGAGAGCAGTGAGGATTAAAGCTTACCCCAGACCTGCAGAATAGGAGAAATTTTTGACATAATTTTCTAACCAAACCTCGGTCACTGTACTGTGTAGCAACCCAAGGGGAAATAATCCTACACTGGTTTCAATGGATCGATAAATCAATACTTGTAAGGATGATTGAAGTTGGTGATTTATTTTTATTTTTCTAATGTGAATCTGTTGGGGAACGTCTTTGATCGCTTGATTTCAACGCATTCATGTCTTTATCTTGTTGGCGATACAAGTAGCTTTAAAGAGAGGTAATCCTACTTTTTTCTTTCTCAGACCTATCCTCTTTCGAGAACCAAAGAAGAAAAAGAACAACAAAAGGAAAAGGCTACTCCCAACAAAAAGGGGAAGATAACTCTGAAACAAATCATTCTTGTGATCGTTTGTTTCATCTTGGAGACGACACAGCTCTAGTGTGATACTTTTGTTGTTGTTTAATCATCGGAGATCACACAATTCTCACTCTGGACGTATACCTCGCCCCGATCACACTTTCACACTTATTCGCAATTCGTGCTGGCCATTTCTAAGGCCGGATTAGAATACATTTTTTTTGTTGAGGATACATATTTCTATATATATATATTTTTTAAACAATATCCTAAAGAAAGCTGGGGATTGACAATTGAAACGCAGACGAAGACTCGGTAAACTAGCAACGATTATTGGAAGAAAGGAGGGTAACATCTGGTTCACAACAACGCAACTCTTCACGTCGTTATTTATACGCTGTGGGTTACTAGCGAGAGGGAAAGATCTACTACTCTGTTCAGTCAAGCGAGATTTCTGATCTCCCTTTCTTTTATTCTCCCAGCCGGCAGCTGGGTGTAGTTATATCAAAGGAGATAATTCGTATTGTTTTTTTTTATCTTTACTTCTCTTTGAAGTTTGGTTAAGTTGAGAAGAAAATAAGTGTACTTTTCTTGTCGTGGATGTAGTAGGTTTTTTTTTCGTGAACACATGTTATCGTGGTAAGACAAGGAGTTTATTTTTAGAGGTGGATGAGAGATACTCATTGGCGTAGAGCCCAGGAGTAGTTATTTGCAAACGTGTGGAATAAGTTGTGATGCTAAAAAAAAATTTCCCAGAAACTTCTACCTATTTTTTTTTCTACTAGGTGTAAGCTTCGACGTGAGTACATCAGCCCGCGCGTGCCAAATGTGTGCGGAGTAAATCTGTGAACTATTCTTTCAGAACGGAAGTACCTGGGGTAGCAGCCAATCAGAGCTTAACTTGCAATTAAGATTTGGGTGTTGGAGAGGAAAAGTCGATTGTGAATCGAGTGTGAACTAGTGGAGTGTGATACGTTACGTTTTAAAACAACTTGTGGATACATCCAGCTAATCCATCGAACTGATTTATCGACACTTACATCACAAATGTGTCCTGACTTCATTTACTGACTACCTAAATGAACCGATTTGAATTATATCAAAAAGAAAACCAAGAAATATAACTAAGACGTATAATCTTAGTCAAGAAGTATCTACAAAGTTACAACTGATTTTTTGAAACGATAAAGAAAACGTCACATATAGAACGGCCTGAAGGTTCAGCTATGGGGACATACACGTCGCCTCTCAATTTCCAGAGTCCCCAACATTCGCTTGACCTTTCAACCCTGGACTCTGGCTCGGCTGGACATTTGGTCTCTACTTCTGCAACAAGCCCCAGCACACACTTAGAAACTGGTCATCAGGACACCCGATTGGTCGCCGCCCCCAACTAAAACTACAACCTCTCTGTTTCCATTGGACGAATTGAAACACGTGACCGTGAAAATGACCAGCGTGGTGTCCACTTCCGGCGTGACGCCGCAAATCACCTACAGCGCCAGCTACAGTGCCGGCAACACGACCGACATCTTCGTCCCCTTCGGCGGCGTCAACACCTCGGACTACTTCAACCAGACTGGCTTCAGCAACGACTCGGTGTACACGAACTCGTCGAACATAACAGTGGACACTGGTCCAACAAGACCGCCCGTGCCGTTTGAAGAATGGCAGCAAATTCTCATCGGCATCGTCCTCGGCTCCATCGCCCTCAGCACAGTCATCGGCAATTCCCTGGTCTGCATCTCCGTGGCTATCGTCAAGCGACTCCAGTCTCCCTCCAACTTTCTCATCGTCTCGCTGGCCGTGGCGGATCTGTTTGTCGGCATGCTCGTCATGCCGTTAGCGGCTGTGGTGGAGCTTAACGGTGGGGCCTGGATACTGGGCCCGATCGTCTGTGATATGTGGACCACGACGGACGTGCTGTTATGCACTTCGTCCATCCTCAACCTCTGCGCTATCAGCGTGGACCGGTACTTTGTCATTACCCGACCTTTTCAGTACGCCATCAAACGCACGCCGAAACGCATGGGTCTTATGGTTCTTATCGTGTGGAGTTTATCCGCCGTCATCTCCATCCCGCCCGTGTTCGGCTGGAAAAGCCCGCACCGGCCGTTCGAATGCATGATCAGCAACGACATTGGCTACCAGATATATGCCACACTCTGTGCCTTCTACCTGCCGCTCATCGTCATGATCTGCATCTACTTCCGGATCTGGCGGGTGTCTTCGAAGATCGCAAAATCCGAAGCCAAAACCAAAATCGGAAGTTTCGAGAGAGGCACGGAGTTTCAGTTGAGCCGACCCTCCCATGATTCGGGGGACAGTAACATTTTAGCCGTCCCCAACGGTTACATCCGCGACGGGAACGGCAACGGCAACACCGAAGACGAAGGGTCTTCAGAGGCCTTGAGGAGGCCCAACCCGGAGCAGCTTCAGAAGCGCCGCTTCACCATCCGCTCCCTCATTCCCCGGCACCCGAAGCTGTCCAACACCAAGGAGAGGAAAGCGACGAAGACCCTGGGGATCATCATGGGCTGCTTCACGCTCTGCTGGCTCCCGTTCTTCATCCTGGTCCTGGTCTCGACCTTCTGCGTGAACTGCGTCCCGCCTCAGCTGTCCTCGATCCTGCAGTGGCTGGGCTACGCCAACTCCTTTCTCAACCCGGTGATATACGCTCGCTTCAACCGCGAGTTCAGGACCCCTTTTAAAGAAATTCTTCTCTTCAGATGCTACGGAATCAACACGCGCATGCGCTCCGAGAGCTACGTGGAACAATATGGACCCGTCGCCTCGCATCGGGACAGTCTGCGCCCCACGGATACCATCGTCAGGTACAACAGCCAGGGTCAGACCGTCGTTGCCCTTGGCAACGGATCAGTCAACGGATCGAGACACAGCGAGTCGAAGATTTGAAAACACGATTTGTGTTTAGATGGAAATTTTTTTAAATTTTTATTTCTGTTGGTAAACATCCATTGAACGGTTTAGCTTAAGAATTTTATGGGAAATAGTAGATTCTACTTAGTCCAATTGATCTCGTTCTATGCTTACATCTTTATGTACGTTCATCGACATGTGTTAGTTTACTAACTTAGGATGCTAGTTTCATTTTTTTTTAATCGGAATAATCACCTCATGAATATTCATTCTTTTCATTCTATAACTATAACTGTTCTAATATTATATGTCATATGTGATACTATTGGGGAAACCCATACACCATTCAAGATATCGTTAACTAAATGTCATTCATGCTAAGCTTACTTAGTCTAATGTCATACATGCAAACTCTCATTATTTAAAAAAAAAAAGCATTCATACATTTTAAAAGCATGTTCCCATTACTCAAAAGCTATATACAAGTTCACAACGGGACTTATAACTTAAATCCACACGTCCCTACATGAAAAATATCAACTCACTCCATTTAATTTTATCTGATTTTTGCCTTTGTCTTTTTTAATATAACTTACTTATAAATTACTTTTATATAACTTATTCATAATTTTAATTTTTTAAATTTATTTTCTTGGCTAGACAATCGCAATTCATTCCTGAATCATATCAGTCATAAATCTAGTGCATAGTTCAAGGATACAGTTGGGTACTGTAAGGTGTCAGGGGAGAGAAGCAAGATAGGTTTTAACTGGTTAGGATACAGCCGGATAATGTAAAACTGGAACCGGTATTAGAGGTGGTTTTGCTGGGCGGGGGAGGGGTGGTATAGCTACAAGGTTTATTGCTCAAGTCATATGACTTGTAGATGTATAGTTTCAACGCGTATACCTTTAAGTCATATACCAGAATGCTGTATAGATTCAGGGCGTGTAGTTTGAAGTCGTATAGCTGGGAGATATATAGTTTCAACGCATATACATTGAAGTCATATAACAGAAAAATGTATAGGTTCAGTTTAAAAGTCGTATAGTAGTTAGATGGATAGCTTGAATGCATATTACTTGAAGCCATATAGCTGAAATACTATAGCTTCTTGGTGTTTAGCTTGGTTTCCTATAACAGAAAGATGTATAGTTTCAAGGCATACATCTGAAAGGGATATAACTGTAAAGCATAAAATTTGCGTGTTTCGTTAACGGTGCTACCAATTTTCTGACATCGACTCTTCCAAAAATAGGTGTAGAAGATTGTTTGTAGTATCGGAATATCAGAGTATGTGATAGGGACGAAAATCAGGGTTCACCGCTATGGTAAGACTTAGTTTAGGGTTTGGGTGTGTGATAAAGTTAACATAAACATAACAAGATATGTTAAACTGTAGTTTACTACCAGTGACCGAACACCCCCTTTTTAAAGACGAGTCCATAATTTCACACTGACATTTTTTTATCTAAGGGTTAAAAATTGTGTATCTAAAGTCTAAATGATAACAAATTCTACTTAACTTTAAAACTTGTTACAGGTTATCAAGTATACTGCATTGACGTATTTTAGACTAACGCTAAATGTAACATATCCAAAAGAAATAATTCCTGGCCAACAATACCCTCTTATTCCCAATGATCATCCGCTTGAAATCAATCCAGCCATTGTTGCAAGAAATCGATAATTTTAATCACGTGACGTTTAATTGTTCGCTTAATGGATCCAAACAATAAAAGTTTTTTTTCATTGACCTTGGGAAAAGTGGATTAAACCCCCTACCCCTTGCAAATATGACCTTGGTGGAAGAAAAGAAAATCACTACAGCTATTTTTAACTTTCCGTTTTAGTTTTTTAAGGTTTTTTTTTCTTTAACATTTCTAAAATCTGATTCTTGCATGCACCGTCACGGAACACCAACTTATTAACGATCCTTTTTAAGGGGACATCACTCTTCGCCGATATTTCTCAAATAGTGCGTTATTTCTAATATTTTGATTTTTAAAAATAATTTTTTCTTTCGTTCACGCGGAGTAAAAAAAAAAAGTTGTAACTTCCAATGTTAGTGATACCCACACGTACTAGAATCAAATTTTTATTCAATGATATTCATCTTCCAACGCACAACACAATTTATTTTTCTGTATTATAGTGTTGAATATCTTATATTAACGTAGTACCTTATATTAATTAATTTTAAGAACAACATCAATTAATATTTTAGCCTTTAACCTCTGGCACTCTGCAATGTGTAGAAACGACTTTTTATTTTAGCATCCAAAACAAAACAAAAAATGCACATACGGGGTATTTTAACATCTGCGACAAAATCACGTGTTTGAATCCGCTTTACGTCGCCCAATCAATCCTGATATTCAAAATGTGGGGCGAAATAACGTGACCTACCCCTCCCCTTATAGGTGAGACGTAGGGCGCAGTGTTGAGACCCCCCCCCCCGGCGTCAAGCATAAAGTTGTGTACACCGTACACCCCGCAAATACGTACACTCGCAGTGTGTACATGACAATGTTCATCTGAAGATCTCCATTCATATCTGCTGCTGGAAATTCTCCCCTGAACAATCCGCCCGCGTCCTCGTTTGTTCATGTCCCTTGGAATGCTCGCCCTTAATTAGCGCCAGGGCGAACTTAATTAGCGTAGCCTCCAACGTATCGATGTGGTAATTATCTTAAATGAGGTAGTTTTTAATTGCTATACAAAAAACCCACGAAATTATATTGAATAAATTAGATTGTAATTGCAATACAAGAAAACTTGAAAAATTAGTACTGTCATTTTAATTGATTTTTTAATAACAGCATTCTGCTGTTATTCTTCACAAAATCCCTCCAATTTTATTCAAGTGTACATAGTCTTTACAAAAATGTCCTAATTGGGCTCAATTTTTTTTCTACGCTACAACAACTTATTAACGTGTTTTAATTAGTTAAAAAAATATTAGCATATACAACATACTACTTTATTTTTTTTTTCTAGCCATGAAACTTCAAAATCTTCAAAGTATTCTTTTTTTTTTACTACCAACACAAATCCATAACTTTACGTTAATCTGGAGATTAATAGATCATGGGGTCGGTGTACTTAAGTTGTTTTGTTTTTATTCTAGTTTTCTATTGGCGTCTAGGGTACAAATCCATTTTCTAATCAATTGTATTAAAATAGTTTTTTGTAGACTGAATTAAAATGTAATTTTATTTGTGAAGACTTTTTTAAAGTTTAAATATTTTCATCAAATAGCAATCCAATGATAAATTTTCAATTAAATTTTTTTTAAAGATTTTTCTTTTTTAAGGTAAAGAGCTTTCAGTTGAAATTTAGTGCTTCAAAAGGCGATTTTAAATGGTACTTGAAGGGTGGATCCATAAAACAAGCTTTAAAACAGTGTTCGCCATCGTGTCGTAGGGCAAGGGTTAATGTGGGGTTTGTGGCAACTGGAGGGTTAAACTGAAGATGGATGTCTAGCTTACAGAGAGCCATTTTAATTGAAACCTAGCTGATTGGCCATTGAATAAAGCACTATATATAAATATATATATATATATATATATATATATATATATATATATATATATATATATATATATATATATATATATATATATACATATATACATATATATATACATATATACATATATATATACATATATACATATATATATATATATATATATATATATATATATATATATATATATATATATATATATATATATATATATATATAAACCAAGACACGACGAAATTATGGCATTTATTTAAAAAAATCTTCATACAGCTATCTATAAACCTAGTATCAAACTTAATTATCTTTTTAAACTTCGTTGCCATTCTCAATGATCGAATATCCTAGTAGCACAAGAAGGACATAATAATATCATTTTTTAAATCAAGGCCTATTCCTACAGCGACTTATAATTTTTTTTCTAGCAAAACTCAATTTCTACAATGAATTAAGTAAAAATAAAATTTCAAATGTCAGGGTATTTTTTTATATGGTCCTAAAGCGGGTTAATAATTGTAATCTTTTGACTGATTAGTGTTATCTCTAATTAATGGATATTTTTTCTCTCTCAATATCTTCAGCGTCAGTATAATTCGGGAATTTCCCCAACTGTATTGATTGTTCCATGCCATTGTTATTTGTTTTGTTTTTATTAGTTTTAAATTTTTTTTCCAATGAATCTCAAAACCAACGTCACACGCAAGCTAAATGTGAATGAAGCTTCTCTAGAGACTTATACATAACACATCTAAACATCCCATTCATTCATTTATTTATTCGCCACAACACAAGCTCTTGCACTTCAACACAGTATTAGCAATATACTAGTTGGCGCGCCCGTTTTTTGATACGGGACAGATTACATGGAGTAAAACATTCATTGCAAATGTACAAAATTTTAATGTAATAATATCCTGTTCGGTGTGTGCGTTACGACCGTTGCAATTATTAAGCCATGCTCAATTTGTACAGGTTTAACATTTATCATTAATGAAGATATGCTGTGATGTTCGTGGTTGCTGTAATTAATTATTTTGTTAACATAAATTGTTTGGTGGTTTTAACATATATACCTGTGATAAATAAATGTAGAAAATGTTTTTATCTTAAATGAAAACAGATATTTGCTTTTATTTTAGAATGTATTTTCAGTTTTTTTTTCAGTTGCATAATTTATTTATTATCATTAACATTTACACTTGCTTTAATTTACTTATAATTTTAAACCCGTATATTTATCCTTTTTTAAAGAAACCTGTTTTTACTCAAATCTCTTGATAAAAAAATCGCTTGTAAATAGACCGGTATGCTTATGTTTAGTTTTTTTTTTTGTCATTTATAACAGTATTGGCATCATATACATCCATCTACAGAAACAGGCATCCATACATCCATTGACACTCATCAAGAAATAAGAAATTCCAAAAATCTATTTTATTTATTACCTTAATTATTTTGAGGCATTTTCTTCTTGTTTCGATATTTCTTGTTTATTATTTTCTCCTGGTTAAGTGTTTTTATAAAAGTTATAAATCAATGTGAAGTCTAGGGAATATTTTTGCTTACATTTTTTTTTTTTGCTTTTAATACTTCTAATACTACCCCTAATCAGAACAGGCACTATTGAAATGCATTGTATTTTTAATACAGGTGTTTATTAATGTGACAGAATACCAGGATTAAAATGATACTATGATAGTTACTTACACTTTATATAAAAACAGCTACAAAACTACACTAGAAACATTTTTCTAATTAAAGCTGGCCAAAAAAAAGAAGGAAATTACACCAACTGCACCTAGATCAACTAATTTAAACAAAAACCTCGTTACACGATTTCCCAGGTAAAAACCCAACTGTGTTTATTTTCCCGGCTTAGTTCATGCAAGGCTAACATCCCCCACTGATCCGTGCTGTTTTGATTGGTTTAATTTGAGCAGAAACCTTTTAATTTCGATTTTAGCTCGCGAGAAGGGGCGGGGAGGCGTAAGGGGAGGTAGTTAGTGAAAGGTCAGCCTGTACATTTTCATTACGAGGCTCGCCTCGTTATCGAGCTGCGAAATCTATTTTTAACTGATTTTTAATTGTTCGAACTAAACATTTTCCCTCGCGCGCTCTATAAAAAATAGTTTCCTGTAAATAAAAATGTCTAAAGCCCTGAATCCTAATTTTGAAAAAAAAAAATCTTTAAAATGAAGCTGAACTTAAAAATATATTAATTTAAGAAAATTGCAAAAAAAAAAAATCAACTTCATTAAGAGTTACTTTTTTTTTGTCAGCTGACTCAATGAAGGCTTGATTATCTATCCTGTTTCTTCACTTTCTTTCTCCTCTACGTTCCGATTTTTTTTCTTCTTCAGCAAAGTCTGTGTTTCAACAGTTCGGTATAGGCAGAGGGTGTGTCCACATAAATAATCATCGCGGAGTGAATAACACACCTAAATGTCATTGGCGGCTAAAAATAGCAACGTCTGTGCTCGTACAGATTGTGCACCCTCTCATGACCTAGGAAATATGTAACCTTTAATCCACCATATATATATATATATATATATATATATATATATATATATATATATATATATATATATATATATATATATATATATATATTATGTCTATCTATGTCACCTATATTATATGTATGTTTATGCATACATATACTTACATATATATATATATATATATATATATATATACATATATATATATATGTATATATATGTATATATATGTATATATATGTATATATATGTACATATATGTATATGTATATGTATATGTATATATATATATATATATATATATATATATATATATATATATATATATATATATATATATATATATATATATATATATATATATATATATACATATATATATATATGTATATATATGTATATATATGTACATATATGTATATGTATATATATATATATATATATATATATATATATATATATATATACGTAATGAGATAGAGAGTACACAATTCAGCGCACAAGAGCTCACGTTGTAATAGCTTTCAACAGAATGTAGGCTGAGATACCGTTAGGGGTGGGGTGGGGGGGGGTATAAACCTGTCAGGCTTTGAGGTGTTGTCTGCAGCACCTTCGTGGTTGGTGTTCCAGGGTGTATGGAACTGGCCAGCTGTAGGTAAACAGTGCCAGAGTCTAAGGCCAAATTAGTTTTGTGAATTGTTTTATTAGTTTTATTTTGTTTTAATTTTTTTTTCATGTCAGGGGAGATAATAATGTATCGTACACAATACTTAGCTAACTCCACAGAAAAAAAAGATGACTAATAAGTAAAAATGTTTGCTAAAGAAATATTTTTTTTATTTTTAACTTTCTTTTGACCCCGTCTTATGGAAACTATTTCTTTTATTATTTAATCTTAAAATTAGCTAAAATGTGACACAATGTCGGACTTGATTTTTTTTTTAATATTTTAATTATGCGAATTTTATTTACTTATTCTCGTAATTTTTTTGTTTCATTTTCCTGTATTGTAATTAGAAAAAAAAACTGTCTGATCTAAAGGGTAAAAGATGTTGTTTTAAATTATAAGCTGTTCACCTTGGTACGTGTAGAACACAGGTCTGTGATTCTCAGCTGCAAGTGATACGACGCACCGTGTTTTTTGGCGCGGTAAATGGAATAACCTCGATATACACACATTTATTTTTTACCTCCGTCAGTGTTATTGTCAAGCGGGTATAGATGTAAAGGGGGGAAAATGTATAGATGTGGGGGAAAGCGAATGGCATTGAACTTCTGCATTCATAGTTTGGTCTTAAAGATCATACATGATTGCTCTGTGAACCTAAACATAGTCGCACTGACCATCAGAATGCGCGGTACTCTATATAGCTGAGTTGACTCATAATACATACAGGCTTTATAAATGCGAAGTTTAAGATGACTTGAATCTCCCACGCCTATAAATGTTGGGTACTCTTTTAAGCTGAGTCAGCTCATGTACTATAAGGATTCGAAATCCCAAAAAAATCCAGATAAAACCAGAAAATTTCCATTCGCCCCGAAAAAAAAACAAATATGTTGGGTACTGAATATAGCTGAGTTTACTCATGTATCTTGTTGACGCTTTCACAGTTTAAAAAAAAAACCTGCCGTGATCAGTATTTCATCAGTATTTCAATACAGAACACCCATAAACATAAGACACATACAACACTGACATATACAGTATACATAATATCTACTTAAGGGATCCCCTCTCTATCCCTCTGTCTCTCTCTCTCTCTCTCTCTCTTTCTCTCTCTGTCTCTCTCTGTACATCTAAAACATCATGACCATCATTTAGCAACCAGGTAACACTTGGTTGGTTTTTTTTTTTAACTTAACCTTCAACCAAACGAAGACAATCACATCCCTTAACTTTTAACTATTCTCCAATCAAGCAATAACGTTTTTATCTTTACCATCATTCTTTTATTTATATTGCTGCGTTTATTTTTGACATATATTTGATAATAAATGTTTATATTTATACATAAATGATCTCTCCTTATACAGTCAACATCACCAGAAACAAACCTTACAGCTATATATCAAAATGAATCCAATACATGTTTCATATATATATATATATATATATATATATATATATATATATATATATATATATATATATATATATATATATATATATATATATATAGTTTACGAATAATAAGTATTGATTTACCGCTTATGGCTTTAAGTACAATATTTAATATCTTAAATAAACTGCTTCAATTTTCAAAAACATAACATTGATAAAAGTATGTATTTATATAAAGTATATTAAGTATAGGCCATATACATAAATATTATATATATATATATATATATATATATATATATATATATATATATATATATATATATATATAATATATATATATATATATATTTTTAAAAGTACGTGTAGATCTAATTTCTGTAAAAGAAGGAGCTACTACCTGTAAGGTTACCGCTTCTGGTGAGGTCGACTGGA